GGACAGAAATAGCCGAAAAGAAAAAAAAAACACACATCCAAGACGAGAAAATGGTTTGGTTCAAGTGTAAATCTGTGCATTTGTAAAATCTTTTTACACCCACCCGACAACCAACTGCTACGCAATACTACTGTCCGATTATCAATTTGTATTTAACGGTGAATGTAGTCTGACGCCATGACCAATATTTATCAATTAAGTTTCAGTGGAGGGTAGGGGGGTTTGGAAAAAAACTAAAGGAATTAAGTTTTTTATCCGACATTGATCTTTTGACGTCGTCCCTTACCCTGTTGTAACAGCTAATATCTGCAGCAATCTCATACTTGCTACTTGTAATATTGTGTTCAGTTGCGACACACTTCTTGATAACCATGGCACTAATGGTTTGAATGTTGCCTGATGACCACACAGTTGTGATAGTAACGTTAACATGCCAGTAGAAACAGCTAATGATATATCAACAGGTTGGTACTTAACACTTAGAGCAAATATAGTTGTCAACAGCAACCGTTGTCTTGCTCCTATAATAAAATAATATATTAGATCATATAATCAATGTGTGCACAGGGAACTCTCTAAAACACAGCACAGAATTAGTAATGGTAATATTGATTAAAAGTGAAAAGGTTGCAAAATGCAGGCACCTGTCTATACAAATGTACATTCAAATTAAAGTTCATGTGTCTTTGTTAGACCATAAAAATTCCAAAATTTTTCTTCCTTTAAATTCGACCATGTAATTATGTGCAAGATTTCTGTAATTTATTGGTTTCAAGATTTCAATCGATCACAAAATTGTACCTTTTTTTCTGGTTTTTAAAATTTTGCCTCTTTCTTCTAGGGATGATTCAGGCTTTAAAACATTGTACAAACATTGTACTTCAAGGGATTTTGAAAGAAATATCACTATTAACAGCAAACTATCACTGAGCTCACACACATATAAGTTACTTTTTGATACTCAAAGATTTTACCATACTAGTAATTTTGTATTCTGAAATCCTTATCGTTGTTAGTAAATCTGTTCACCATTTTGGAGTTCTTATGGTACTGTGATTGCATACCGAAAACATGCATGCTGACCAAGAAATGAATTCTGGCTATCACGATTACTTTTTTGTATTTAAATTAATAGTTCATCCAATATAGTTAATGTATAACAAATTGCCATAGATTATTTGTATCGGTATGTAGGTGTGTTGCAGTATAAAGAGATAATGGTATGCAATGGGATGTCAAAATCAATTCTACATTGCGCATTGACAATATATGAACACTGACCTGGTAGAAGGGAGGAGGATGGAACTGTGCAGAGAATTGTGCAAACAGAAGACACACGACAGGAAAAAAAGAAAACAAATTATGAGAGATACAAAATAAGATTCTTGCTGCAATTCTCTGACTCAAGTGGCTACTGAAAGCTTTGGTGCTGGTACACTACGAAGATTTTTTCTTCTTCAATAAGTATATTAAACCATAGAAGCCAAATTATGGAAGTTATTCAAAGATGTCAGTTGTATCAGAGCACAGTGAGCATCCCACGACAAAATTCAGGTTTCAAAACAATATTTTTATTTAGAGAATGCTATCCATCTATCCAGGCCATCAATGACAAAAAGAATCACAAGGAATGCAGCTGGGAATGAAGGTAAAAAAAAATAATCTCAACAAAGAACTCCAAAAATCAATCTTTAAGTGAAAGACACCAAAGAGACGTAAAAAGGACCGAGAAAGTTTTGTGCAGAAAGAGGTAAATGATTTTATGGTAAATGTCATTTGATGTCAACTTCATAAACTGTAATTGTGAAATGCTAACTTACCTTTCCCTGCTCTCTGATCATGTTCTTTTTCTGATAAGGTACAAACTAAATGTTCATAAATCTTGTGTACTACAGATTGAATTTCCTGTTGAGTACTAGATCTTGCTGCTTTTACACCATCCTACAAATGAATAGAAACACACCAATCAGGAGAGTGGTGATATTTTTTGGAACAAGTAGTAGAGTAGTCAGATAACAAACATGTTTAACGTCTGCTACGTACATATATACAATAAAAGTAATCAGATTTGCAGTTTTCAATTAGAAGTTATATTTGAAAATATAACTTTTTACCAAAAATGACAAAAAGCAGCCTCCTAGCTGAGATAGCTCCACTGTTAGAAATGCACATTTCAATTAGAGAATTGAAGATATTGTCACATAATGAACAAATCTGAGAGAGATCCATCCAAGGTACCGATATATTCAATATCAAAGCAATCAAACTTATCACTTTTTACGAAAATATGCACATCTTGGCAAATGTATATAATCCTATGAATGAATCAGAACCACCTAGTACACATTGCCAGTACTTAGGACTGACATCTGACTAATGTGCTAGTAGTGGTAACACACATACCTGGTAATGATAAAGATGGGGCACATACGGACCATCCATAATTGGTTCCAACATACCAAGACCAAAACATCCAAGTAAATATTGTAAATGTACAGAACTCAATAATGATATTGAAGTAAATGGTGCTACGAGAAGAGTATCTCTACTCTTAGATTTTGGTTTGTCAGGTTTGTCATCATCTTTACCATTCAGCAAAGACAGTATTTGATTTAATGATGCAACTCTCATCTAAAAAAATAGAAGCAAAGAAACAATATTGTCAGTCCCATGTACTTTCACATTGACCACATAAGGCCAGACTTTTATTATCCCTTGTTTCGCGAACCCGCCGAATGAACAGGAGCCGACAATGAAATAAAAATATAATTTTATTTCAGCGCAATTTCTCGCGCCCGTCGACTTGTAAGCACAAAAAAAATGCTAAAAATATTATTTTTATCTTCATTTTTTTACCACCCGCCGCATAACAAATCCAAGTTGCATTTTCGTGGGAGTATCATGATCAAAGTACCGAAGTCTCGTGCAAATGAGAAACAAGGTTTTAAATGGAATAAAATTTTATTTCATTTCTTCTCTCCGATCAATGATCTCACTCACAATTCTTTGAGAATTACACAAATCTCATGGAAAAAAAGAATTAATTTTATTTTTTTTCCGCCCTCCTAAAAAAAATTGCCTTATAAAAACTTGCAAAACAAGGAACAAAAAAAGTCTGGCCTCAGGGTTAAAACATACTACCAGTGTATCTGGAATGAAAAGGTAGGGTGAGGAACACTGAACAGATATGTCTACATTTAACTGGACATCAAATTAAATAATCTATTTCTGGAAATGTTATGAAATATCTGCACCATCTAGAGAAAAACTGGAAAAGCTTATAGTGTCCCCATAAATCTTTGTTGCGAAAATCTTTTTTTTGTCTGATACAGGTTGGGTGGATGTAGTGGTTGGTTGTATTTGACATATAATCTCTGTATATATTCACATTAATGTACAAATCATTGAAATGCAATATTTTACTATGCACATGTTAGATATCTTTTTATTACCTCAGCTCTATGTTGTTGCATCTGCATGGATGATGTGAGTATACAAGGATCTGATGACGTACCCACAGCCTCAAAATCACTAAGACCAGACTCAGGCTTAGTAAACTCCCCACAAACAAAGTCAGCAATTTCACTTGTTAAATTCTTGATCATAAATGCTAAAAAATAAATAAATAATTTACTGTTATAGTACAATAATGCAAATAGGATGCATTTCTGTCAGTTGCTAACTGTTCTTGAACTACGGCATAGTCCTGTCAAGCCTGTCAAGAGTGAGGGTTACTAATTAATTTTCATGAGCTCATTAATATTCATTAGCTAATAAAATAGTAATGGGCTCATTAAATATTCATGAAGTGATAGTACTATAGTCATAAATGGTTATGATTTAGCTACCATACATCAATAAAATCATTTTTTTCTGAAAATTAAATACTGGGTATTTTCCAAATTTTAATCTACTTTGTCATGAAGTGCTTAAATGTGGCATAATAGGTGAGGGGAGTCCACTCTAGCAATAGCAATAAAATTAGGGTACAAGATTTACCTGTGGTTTGATGAGCAATGCTACGATATTCAGCTAAGTTATGACCAGATGTTCCATGTAAACCCATTCTATCTCGTCTCCATCTCAGTCTTTTCCATGCTTCCTTTACAGACACCAGTGATCCAAACACCTGAGATCCACTAGTACTCAAACCATGATCACTTCTACTGTGTGATGAGCAAGGCTGTGAAGAGCAAACATTATTTGAAATAGCTGTATTTCATTTCTAAATACATTTTTTCTATTTCTTATATAGCTACATCATTACAAAATCTAATCAAAAACAAAATATAAACTTCATGTTCATTTGTGAACTTGACATATTAATGTGTAAAAATATAGAACAGTAAAGTAAAGCATTGACTGGGTTTCCCCTTTGTTTGGCTACAATAGATTGTGTAACTTTCGCCACCATTCGCCAAAAGCAATTTCAAACCATCAATTATTTCACAAAAATGGTCATCACAGAAATGTGTATATAACAGTTCTGTGGCACTTTTCAATTTCCAACTTTCAGACGAATTCATGATTTTTCATTTCTCTTCATTTGCTATTTAAAATCAGTTTAAAATTAGCGAAGTGAAACAATGTAGTTTTAGCAAGAGTGACACATTGTTTGTCACGTATTGACAATTAGACTTCTTACATTAAATGTGGGCAGCACATACAGCTCTATGTGTCTAATACCGGTAAATGAAATACGCTTTGCAGTGAACACAATACTTACTGAAAGCCTTTGTTCATCAGGTCTTGGAATATTTCCAAACTCTGGTTGGCTCACTGTTCGTTCAGGATACTTCAAATGATCTACATGAAATAAAATAAAATAAATCTTAATATTATCCAAGTGATCATCTCATTATTTATGGCATAAAAGATAAAAGTATACATGTATTAGTATCTGTACTGTAAAATACTGGAATTAATTTTCACTGAATACACTTTTTGGGCGTTTTGGATGTTCGAAAAAAGTAGTTCATTTTAATATTCATTATATGGGATGGTATGTTTGTTTATTTATCATTGCATAGCAAAGAAGGTGTTGATATCCATATTGTGCACACTTCTTACCAGACTCAGTATAGTTCTCTCTGACAGGTGTTAATGGCTTTTTAGTGGAAGTTGGTTTCAGAATATCATCTTCTCCGGGAATAGCACTACAAACATCAGTCACAAGGAAAACACATCGTTTTATCAAAGATTTGCAGGATTCAATAAAATTATCCTGGTCAGAATTATCTTTAGATTCTTGGTTTGTTTGTGGTGTACTTGGAAGACAAGGTACTGGAAATGAAGAAAAGAACCATTAAAACATATACCATATTAACTGGTCATTAAGTAAAGACAAAATAATTATCAACTTTTGCCACAGAGGGCAAGGTACAACTAAAGGCCTGTCTTCTAAAACTGTGATGAAACCTGAATAATGAGTAAGAAAATATTTAATAAGCATTTCTTTTTTTTTATCAGGAACATAACATAAATGAAGACAACACTTCAACAATTTTGGTTGAGGACACTTTTCAACTTTGTGCAAGGGTAGAAATAATCTAATTTAATAAACCCATATTTACCAAAATCATATTTTTTTCCCAAAAATGTTGATAGAGCAGTAACTTGTCTAAAACATGTTAGATCAATAGCATGACTGGACAAACTATGACATTTAAAAGTTGTACAGAATGTTGTGTCTATTCATATCAACTTCAAAGCAGTGCATATACATTCTGAATATTGTTGATCATCACATAGTAATACACTGATCTAATTTCTTTATAACAACAGAAACCAACGTACTCCACTCATTCAAAAGCGGCTAAATTGACAGATCTGTACTTGCAATGTTCTTTTAGCCTAATAGTGTAGCATACCTTCTCTGTTTTCAGGATCTCTTTCATTAACTTCTTCTCTACTTGTATCATTATCGTCTGTCCCGGCATCATCCGACACATCACTTTCTAATCGTGTTCGCACTCTTTTCTTCATTTCCTGTTTAGCTTGTTGCATTGCTTTGGTTGCCAGCAATCTTCTTCTAACCATATAAACACATCGATATGCCTCAACAAGAGACTTACTTGCACTACAAAACAAAATTAAAAAAAGTTAAAAGTAAGGTTCAAATGAAGGGATTGTACAAGTTCCAACAAATTCAAAAGATTGTATCAACAAGAACATTGATTGGTGGTGTTATTGCACATAATGTATTTTATCACAGACACATTCAAGGATACCATATTTACTTTATTAGAAGTGCATGCAGCCAAAATTGCATTTAATGTATAATGGATCATTGAAATATATTTAGACCATAGACACACTTCTCTCATTTAAGCTACTAATAGAGCAAATGCACCAGAAAATAAAAATGAATCTTGCTCTTTTCTTACAGAATAAACCATTGTTTAGTCTTACCTCTTTCTGTGGGAAGCAGCCGATAAAAGATGACAGTGTTTTAAAAGGCAAGCTAAAGTACATCTGGAAGCAGCATCTAACATGGGTTCCTCTGTTATTTCACAAGTATCCCAATCTAAAGAATGAAAATACATGCAAATCAGTTGTTGTGATGTCTGAAGGTTGATGACTGCATAGGAAATGTAATAAATCTTTAAACAGGGTTGCATACTTAAAAAGTTGAAATGGAGGATAATTATCCCAATTATTGATTAGCTCCGTAATTAAAAATTAATTGGAGAGGTCTGGGGTGTTTAGTTCGAATGAAAGTTTCATTTTACCACTGCAACCCTATGAGTTAAGTACTCTAAAATAATTTATTTTCGCTTGGATGATTCAGTGAAAATAAAATCCAGCGAATATACCTTTTTTCTATATTTTACATTAAACTTGTCAAAAATCAGTGAAAATAAATTACATACAAAACACCCAAAAAGTCTTTCCAGCGAAAATTAATTCCAGCAAAAATAAAGTATTTTACAGTATAAGATTTCAGGCATGACAAGGCCCTCTAGTGACGCAATCTCATAACTCACTCCTCTTGTTTATATACTCACGCCATAGTTTAAAAACATTTTGATAATGCGATATATGTCAATTAATAAGTTAACCACATCATACCTCTGGTAGCAGCATACTCCATCATATTCATAAATATAGAATGTGCAGGTTCTCTACTAACACCTAATATGATGTCCATCAGAATGTTATTGTCAGCTGATTGCTGCTGTTGCTCATAGAAGTGTTGCTCGTCTCCGTTCGATAAAACTGCTTCTGTTATATAACTAAGATCTTTATCTGTCAATCAAAACATAGTAGTACGTCATCATAGTATAATTTTTGACCTACAGTATTTGCTCAATCAGAAAAATATCCAATAGAGGAATTAATTTGCATTTAGCATAAAAAGACAGTGATAATTCTATAGGCCAATGCACTTGTTTATGTTTCGCACACATATGCATGCGTAGTGACCGTTTGGCAAGAACTGGTCACTCACACCAAAGATAAAATAACAGCATTGTACGCTGCTGTTAATATTAAATATACATGTATTGTGTTGCAGTTAATAAAACAACTTATGGGCAACATTGTCACAGCAGAATGTGAGGTAGTGCTGCCAAAAATGTAAACATACATATATGAGGTCACAGTATGACAGCCTTTATGACAATATGATTTGCGGAAAAAACAGCAACATACTGATAATCTATATGAAGCGCAAGAGGTCTGCTAAAGTAATGCTGCCCTCTCGATATAATAAACATAGTACACTGAACTAGTACTGACCACATCTGGATGATTGTTGGTCTTGTTCCAATCCATTACTTAGCAGGTGAGATTTTATCCAGTGTTGTGTATCCTTTTCTTCATTAGTTAATGGTACCCCAATCAGCATGCCATTCAGACAACGTCCAACTAATAATGCAACAGCACGTTCTAAATCCACTAGCCATACCCAAGACTTAGCAGGTTGTGGTAGTGGTAATGCTGCAGGATCAATACTATCTGGTGTGGCTACAAAAAACAAATATGACACAAGTCAGAGTGGTCTCAAAGCTCTAGTATCTGCTATCTACCGTACATATGACCTGCTATGTATCAAAACAAAAACAAGCACCCTTTTTTTGTTCAGTCGAATACAAACATTATTTTATAATTGAACAATTCGCAAAACAAAACAGCATTGTTATTGCACATGATATATGAACAATCTTCCAGTCACTTTCCTCACTGGTGTGATGTCATCAAGAACGTTGTCACAGACATGCCATACTCGTTTCAAAAGAGATCATACATAATACATATCTTGTTAACTGCAGGAGAATTATGGAGAAACCATGTCTTCTGCTTTCGTCAATAACAATATGTTATTTTTAAGTATAAATACATAGGCATGAATGCTTGTACATAGTCCATATAGAATGCACAATGATCAAGCTTTAAACACAAGAGTATCAGATTTGCTCTATTACTGGTAGTAGTATCTTCTTAGATTCTTTAGTAGTAGATTCTTTAAGCAATACACTTCAATATGGTATTCATTGAACATTTCAAGCAACCTGTGATTTACTGTCATCGCCATATTGTTCCTCACAGCAACATAGCCGGCTAAGTTGACGACTTGTTTGCTATGCACGTCTTGAGATCAATGGTTGGGTCCAACCAATCTCAACAGAAATGCGCACAGCAAACCAGTCAGCAACTTAGTTGGCAATGTTGCTGTTCTAGTGTTTAAAAACACAATGGTAACAGTAAAGTTGTATTTTCTGATTATGAAGTCAACTCAATTAAAATGGTCTGAATTTGTAGAAATTGCAGGGAATATGTTCTAATTATTGAGATTTCAATGATTTCAGCACATTTAATGTTAGTGACTGTCTCCATTTTCTTGTTTGTCCAAATTTCATTTGCTAAAGCTTTGGAATAGTGCAACGCTGCTGTATTATCAGCCAAACCAGCTGACGATATTGATGGCTGGGTGAATGAAACAAATTCACGGCCAAACTCAAACTTCACATATACATAGCTGGGGTATTGAATAGCTATATTGTTATTCTTTAATTCAAATTGTTTTCTGAGTAAAATAATAGTTTCAACTTACATTGTAAAACATGTACATACATACCTCAACCCTACTTGATTATTAAAACATTATAAACACAATATCCTACATGGTACACCCAACAAAATATATAGGAATATGTGTGATATAGAAGTTATGGAGCATGTATTAGTACTCGCTCTTAATAAATGCAAAGATAGTAAATAATTATAATCAATGACGAGTCCATGCAACTTCAAACACACAATTTTTATGACTTAATAACTGGTCGTTTCTACACATGACTGCTTTTTCTATTTGTAAGCATCAAGACTATAGCAAAGTATTCGCTCAGTTGTAAACTCTCCTTATACCTTATGAAGCAAAATTTTAAAATATCCTTAGTTCTGGACTAAGTTCTGTGATAGGATTTCCTGTCTCACATATGGTACATCTAAACTAGAGTAATATTCAACATGACAAGTGTGAAAAAAATACATCATACACAATTGGTATTTTATCTCATCACTGAAATTATTTTCTTATATTACTTTTTCAAGTTATTATGCAAAAAAAACATCAATAGAATATTCACTGATGATCTACATGTACTTTTATACCCATGCTACCCACCCTACCTGCTTTTACTAATAATATCCATAGTACAACAAAGTAAGTTTTCTTTTAGAGTTTTGGTGGACATTTAAAAAGACAGGATCTCCTGATTGGTTACTGGGACTTTTTTTTGTCACTACACACTCCATGCAAATAAACTTTCCAGGTCTTTAAATGGTTACCAATATTCAATTTTATTGTAAATTGGTTTAGATTCAGAATGTAGATGATTGTAAACCAAACCAAGATTGTTGAGCCTATATACTTACAAAAAAACAACATATAATACTACACTACATCTATTGATACAGAGAAAGCACAGGGAAGTAAGACCAGGCAGGAACACAAGGCATGTATAGTAAAAAGTTTACCTTGCGACATCCATATTGTAGCAGAAGGAGGATAAGGTGGAGGATCAACCTCTTGGCTTCCTGACTTGTTATACCGACTAAGAACAAACACTAACAGAGAGACAGCAACACATGTCAGCATAGAATGAAACAAGTAAGACATGTAAACCTATTCTGCATTGGCTAGGATGACAATGCACATGCATACATGTGTAAATACAGCTGGAATAAGTGAAATCATAAGATACAAACCATGCAACAGATTTAAGCCCAAATACACCAACACCAAAAGCATAGCAGTACATCCAACTCAAAGACCTTGGTTGATTTTAGGAAAGGGAACTAAATATCTCATAAATGCATGTTCACATTGATGACGGGAAACAGTTTAAATATTATTAACTGTCAAATAAACAGTTACAGTTACTGACAAATATTAGTAATTGACAAATATAATGAAGTGCCACAGCAATTAATATAATCAATGATTTGCAATGTAACTGAATATAAGTACTGCACAAGAAAACTTCTTCACTGGCTCTGCTCTCGTGATAAAACTTTGTATGATGTTTTCATGAGTACTTACTGTGTATGCCCATTAAGATCAGACAGTACCAGCTATATTGCTACATGCAAGTTAGTTTATAATTTAGATCTGATACCTCAAAATATGCAAACACTTGAAACAATGCCATAACATGTGAAAACAACAGTGCCACAGAGAAACTATCATAAAAGAACTGGTGAAATGTTTATAGTTTGCTCTGAATTGACAAGGATGTAACACCAAAATGTCTAGCAATTTCATACTGCTCCAATCTTAAATTGTTCTAAATATAGGGTACATGCAAGACTGAAAGAAACTGAACCAAATAAATAATCAAGTTTTTAAATTAGTAATTCTCACCAACAGGAATTGTGTATTTGTGTATAGAGAGTCCCAATATTCTGTGTACAAATAGGACCCCTTTTTATACCAAAGTGGGGTTCCTTCTCTAATATTGGGAAGCCTGGGAAGCAAAAAATAATGTTATGTCCGCTAACTAGATTTTCTCCCTTGTCTAAGAATAAAATTAGTGAAAATAAATTATTATAAGTAATGTACTCTTTAGACAATAAGCAACCATTACTTAGTATCAATAGCAGAGCAACAACTTTTATATTAACTACCTCTTTGTTTGGCTAAATTTTTCATCTAATTTGTATAATAGCAATAAATAAAGTATGACTATAAAATAAGAAAATATCAACTGGATTTATAAAGAACACTTTACAAGGCATATATCAAAGAATAGTGATTAAATGGTAGTGACCTGTAGAAACTGTGAATGGTCACTGAATGTGAATGAAAATGCACAATAGCTGAGCTCAACAAGACACCTGTCACACACACACCAGTAAATATTATTGGAAATTTGCTTTTATCTGTTTTAATTATTAATTCATACAGACTTCTTTGAATGAGGACATGAATTATACTGACTATCAAAGTATAACAGAAGTAAAAATGACAACAGACAACATAAACTTGATATAAATCACAAATTGTCTGCGCAGACCATTTCATTTAAACAGAGCAGCTTCCAGCGACATTGTCAGTGAAGTTAACGTTTTTCTACTAAAGTTTTTACAATCCAATAATATATATTTGCAAGTTTAGCTCATTAATGTAATATTATACATGTGAAGAAAACTTGTACAACACACTGGTATAGAATTATATATTACCCATTATATCCATACCCCATTCTCAGGAAAAGTTGCTACTTTTTAATAGTTCATGCAAGACAGTATTTGTGCATTTCCTACAAGTATTCATGCATGTGTATTGATATTACAGCAAGACACACCCTAGCATTAACTGATGTATAAACACCGACTCATGAGATGTCATGGCCAGTCTACATGTACATGCATTACCGGTAAGTCAGTCAAACATGAGAGAAAAATACGTTCATTTTATTAAAATTCACAATAGCATTATATCCATATCACTTTATATTGTGGATAGCCATTCATGTTTAAAGGAAATAAAATATGTTTGTTAACATTTCCATTCTTCTCTAAATAAATTATTATTATTATATTATATGCATAAATTATATCACTCTCAAAGTGCCCAGGTCATTGCAGAGTATGTGTTTGTATTTATTGTAAACAATGCAACTTTCATACATTGTACATTTCCCATATCTAACACAATACTGTGCAACGACTTTGAGGTTCTAGGCTATCTTACCACAATAAGATTAGAAAATAAATGCCACAACACAAAATTTCTCATTCTTACATTAAAATAGATCATATTTAATGTACACCAGTAGATCTTATCAAGAAGTAGTCATTCAAGCTACATCACTGAGTGGCATTAATTAAAGTTGCCCCCTGCGGTGAATATACAATGCATTATTTTTAGAGGTCCAGTATGACATATTTGAAAGCGTGAATACACCTTTATAGCAATTATGGAAGTTTTTGTAGTATGAAATCTCAAAGCTTTTGCAATTTATAATTAAACATCCATCGTGAACAGATAGGTTCAGCAAATGATTGTGTCAACATTCAATCTTTAGAAGCATACATGTATAACTGGGAATTCACACAAAATTTGTCACATACTGGGGTAGTTTGGAGATTGTAATTTCTGCCAAGAGCAGCTTCAACAGTAAGTGGTCATCAGGTCATGCATGTTCAAACAAGCGTGTTAATGACACATTTTGTATATACTATAAAATACTTTATTTTGACTGGAATTAATTTTCACTGGAAAGACTTTTTTGGGTGTTTTGTATGGAATTTATTTTCACTGAATTTTGATGAGTTGAATATAAAGGTAGGAAAAGGGTATATTCGCTGGATTTTATTTCCACTGAATCATTCCTTCAGCGAAAATTAATTCTAAGCAAAAATGAAGTATTTTACAGTACTATGGAATGCATTCCTTGTCTCGTTCACCAGCCTTGGAGACTGGTGATATTTTTAATAATGAACTTACCATGAATAGGCCATTCTAATTCCTGTTCTTCCAGAAGAGCTGCTGCTGGAAGTAGTCGGTTCAATTTATCTAGCTGTGGTAATAACGACAACAATGCTGGCAATAATGGCTGTACTATGAGGAATGGTAACAACAACAATGAATGGATGATTTGGGATAACATTGCACCTGCTGCAGAACTATAAAGAACATCTGTAATGAAAAAAAACACATACTCAATATTGGGGTTGAACTATTACCGTATAAGTTCATTACAGTGTGACAGAATGTGATGATTTCATGGTACAAGTACTGCTCAAAATTTGTCATCATAACATCATGACAAATCAGTCTGAAAAATTTGTCGTTGTAATTTCAATGCCAAAGTTCAAGTTCCACAGAAGCAGATTCTGTGACAGGAGCCTGTATTCACACTTGCCTGTATAACACTAGTTTACAGTAATATGCAAATAATGTATGTCACTTTTATACAAATACTTTAAATGACTAATTTTCACTGGGTTAAAATTTCGCTGATTTAGCATTTCAGGCATATTCAGTGGGTTTTAAATTCACGGTTTCATCATTTAGATAATGTGTACTATGCTCAATTTTACATACTCACCGAGTTTTAATTTAGCGCATTTTCCAGTCAGCAAAGCAAAATTGAAACCCAGTGAATAATTAACCCTTTTACAGTAATGCAATGGAATAAATAAATCAACTAAAATGAAGTATGGTAGATCTCAAATACCTCTTAGTTTATCTCTGACTGCTGATGAGCTCACACCTGCACTCTCCTGGAGTAATGTTATTGATCTATTCAGAACTTCAACAGCATGTGGTAGAAGTAATGACAAATGGTTATGAAGTAATGACACACTGGAAGCACATCGAGTCTAAATAAAAAGTAGAATTATTATATGCAATGTCTGATCCAACAATATTTCCTCTTAGTTTTATCATGAGTGATTACTGCAAGTAATTTGTATTAAAGCAGTTGATAGTAATTACAGCATATGACAAAATTATGCAATTATATTTATTATTCATAGAGTCTATGATCTTGTTTGTATACTTCTACATTTGATGGGCTGCTAAATGTGTAACTATTGTGAACATAAACCGAAATTAAGGTAGCGAGACTATTATTTGTGTTGAAAATTTTCACATTTATTTATTAATTGATGAAATGCACTATAAACTTTCATCTGATAAGTCAACGTAACCTAGAATGTCATGTAAGTTGGTTAAAATGTAGATTTTTTGAAGGGAAGCAAGGCAGCTTCAGTAGTGTTTTCCAAAATCAACAACACAGGTTTAATCTGTGTGCCTATAAGTTTCAAAGATTAACTCAAGACAAAGCAATGTTAGTATGTGTTATCAGTAGCTATCTGACACACAGTGAGTGTTTCCAAACATTTGAGTGGTTTGTCTCCGCCCCTGTTTATTTCACAGATTAGTCATTTGCATATGAATGTGTCAGACACAAGGTCACACAACCACTGAAAAATCAAAGAAAGCT